TCATAGTTAACCCAAGTTGATCAGAGTTGATTTAATATGATTATTGTTTTTTAAATCCTCAGCTCTTTTATAACTCTTCAATTTAATCCTAGATTTTGTCTAACATGAGACCAATCGAGATTCAATTAAAGCTCAACCGAGAAGAAAGTAATGAAAGGAAAAAGAAATAGATGTATTTCCCAACTAGGTTAGCTCATTATGGTTGTGTGCATTACTTAGGTTATAAATTTTACAGCTTAACTCGGGTCAATAAAATATATATTATTTTTTTATTTCACTTTTTGATTTATTTATTTTCTTACATTGGATAGTTTATTATTTTGCATTTAAACCTAATAGGTTTAGGCAGAGGTTAAATTAACAGAGATGTGAAATTTTTAAAAGTTAGATTGTTATTTGAATGAGGCGACCAATTTGCCTCTTGGTTTGTTAGGTCGAATAAGCCACACTAACTCATTTTTTGCACTTATTAATGCACATGGGTCAAGTTTTTAATTTATATTTTATATTTTTTATTATTTATAAAAAAACATTAATGATGTCGACATGTTTCTTATGCAATATTTGATTTTTTGTCTGGCTCCCTACGAAGCATGGGCTAGTAGCTTAGTTAGATCTATTAGACAAGAGCTTGTGGGAAGTGATACATTAAAGGACATGTCTTAAATATTTATTTGTTCTTCTCTCTAGTTATAAAACACAATTCTGGTTATATCTATCTCAAGACCTGAATTACGAGTTTGATGGATTAATCTGAGTTAATCAAGGCCAATTCAAATCACTTTCTCTTTAAGATTTTTTAAAATAACATTGTTTTTAAAATAAATAAAGTTAACCCATATTTTTTTATGAAATAAGTTTTTTCTTAATATTAAGTTCGATTATTGTTTTAAAATTATTATATTTTATTGCGTATATTTTATCAAATTTAAAGCATATTATTTACTGCATAATATATCACGATATCTCCAATAAATAAATGGAGCATAAAGTTGAATAAATATTTTGTGTCCCATGAATATTATATGCAATGAATAAATGGTTTTGTTGTATGTATTGCCTTAAATTTTAAGCATTTCATTTATTGCATAATTTACCATGATATCTCATATATATAAGTGGAGCATTAAGTTAAACAAAGATCTTATGGGCTATGAATATTACATTAAATAATTAAAATTTTGTAAATTTATTGTTGTTTTTTAAAGGTTAAAGATTCAACTTCAACCATTGTCATAAAATATGAAATTATTGACAAAGGGTAAGACTAATATACATCTAATTAGCTATAAATAATTGATAAAAAAAGAGGGATAACTTTGTCGATTTACAATTAAAGAAATTAGTGAGAGTGCCATTAGCAATTAAAGGAATGTTGATCCCTATTTATATTCATCTAATTAGCTATAAATAATTTTTTAATTGCAAACATCAAATATGAAGCCACTTCACAGCCCCTTGTGCTTGATAACATAAGAATTTTTTAATTTTTATAAATGCTTCGGTGCATGAAACAATATATAGTTTATATTATGCACATATTATTGTCAAAATCACTACACAATAAACATTTATTATTATTAAAAGTATAAATTCGTTTTGATTATATGATGTTTTTTTAATGTTTTTGGGAATTTATTTTATACTCGCTATGATGATATGAATGTGTTTTTATAAATAGTACAATTCATGCACTCCATTTCAGTACTTTGAATTTTTTAAAACTTATATTCTAGTATTTCAAATAAATTTATGTATCATAGATAATTTTACAAGATTGTTCTATAAAATTGAATAGTATTATAAATATAACAATAAAAATGAAATCAAGAGATATTTTTTAAAAAATAAAAGTTTAACTCCTACAAAATCCATTCCATAGTTTTAAAACTTATATCTAATTTAATCAAAACCAGCATAATAAAAAAAAAATTGAATAGAACACTTCCTCATCTAAAATTTACACGATATTAATCTCTTTTTAGTTGTTAAGATGTTTATAAATATAGTAGTAGTTATTTTTTAAAATATTTTTATTTAAAAATATATTAAAATAATATTTTTTATTTATAAAAAATTATTTTTAATATTAAAAAATTAAAAAAAATCTTGAAAAAAAATTTGTGCAATCTCGTTGGAACGCAATAAAAAAAACGGCTATGATCACTTCACGATTTTTCTTATCAACTAGATAGAGGAACAATCTAGCATGCCCGGCGCTAGGAGGAAGTAGGAAGCTACGGGGCAGCTATCAAATAATCAATAATGCGTTGCTCGAGTCATATCTTCTTTACCAACTAGTCAACCACTTTAGGCTAGAAATCTGTCACGAAAAGTTAATGTCTACTGATAAAAAGTTGACGTTTTTTTTTTTTTTTTCACAAATGAATGTTTAAAGTTTAGACAACCTATATCCAATTTTGTACAAACGTATGTCCAAGTTGTGACAATTTATTTTGGCAAATGAATGTCCAAAATTTGAATATTTTATCTCTCCCACGACCTAATCTTACTACGTATCCTTAAATAAAAATATATTAAAATAATTTTTTAAATCTAAAATACTAACTTGATTTTTCAACCCTTTTTTATAATAAAAAATTAAATTAACAATCGACATATTATTATTTTTTTTAATAAAATTATTGTTAAATACATGAAAAATACCAACCAATGAGAATTTGATGTAGGATATAAATGAATGAAATTTTTATAATTTTAAAAAAATTATTCTCTTCAACTATTTACAGTAAAAAAAGTAATTAGAAGAAAGTTTCTTTTCTCTTTCTTTCTTCTTTAATGTTATTCATTTTAGAGAGTTATGGAAAGTGATAGCTAATTATAAAAAAATTAATTGGAAGAAAGTTTTTTTTTTCTCTTTCTTTCTTCATTAATGTTATTAAAATTAGCCAACTTGTTAGTTTATGATCTTTCAAGAAATTTGAGAAGTTGATTTTGATTATTAAACTGTTTATCTTGAAGTTTAGTAATTAGTGCTCTTTTGATGTTTTGTATGTTTGATAGATATAGTGTATGGGTTACACTATATTAGTACATGAAATGAAAAATTTGAGTATACTAATTTTGAAAGAATTAAAATTCGTGTTAAATTGATGCCGCAGAACTAAATTATTAGTCATTTTAAGTTTAAATTGGAATATTAATACTTGGATTATATATATAAAGATTGAATCGATATATATATTAATATGGAAGCTTTAGAAATTGAATTTTTTTTATGAGTTTTAATATAAAAGGAAAACATAAATGTGAAAGAATAAGAAATTGAATGTTAAAAATGCAAAATAATTGTAAAAAATAACTTTATTATAAATTATGAAAATTATGATGTTTCAAAAATTAAATGTGGGCGATTGTGAATATGAATTGCTTTGATATGGATAGGATTCTATTAGCATGAAGATTGAACTCATAAACTGAGTTAATGAAGATATATTTTCTTAAAGTAGAAGTGGTCAAGAGTTAGATTTTCAGCAAAAAAAGCTTCCTTGACAAGAAGAGCATGTTGTTTCTCATCGTTGCACCTTTTATTTATAGTAATGTCAATATAGATTCTTATTTATATGTGAAATTTATTTTGAAAAAAATATAAATAATTAGTGCTTAAAATATTTTAAGTTGATTGTATAAGTGGGGATATTGACTAAATGTATGGACAAGATTAATAAATATAGAAATGTGATAAATATATGAACTAAGTGAATAAGTCATTCCATGAAGTATATTTAAGTATCAAGCTAAGAGTATAGATGAAATTAAGGAATTTTTAAAATATAATTAAAATACAAGCTATGAATATCGATTTGGATTTGTGTATAAGTGAATTAGACTATAAAAATTTGATAATAAAAATAGATGGATAGTTATTATTGGTTATTCTTGAATATAAAGCAAGATTATTGAAAGAATGAATGAATATGGTTGTTTTTAAATAATAATACATGATCATTAAGTTGGGTTCATGGTATAAAGATTTATAATATAGAACAACAAAGGAAATTATCAGTAAAGTATGATAATTTAATATATATATATATATATTATGGTTGATAATAATAACATTATAAGAAGTAATAACAACTTCTAAAAAATAGTAAAAATAAGTTGGCATATATTTTAAGAGAAAGAGAGGTGATAAAGAAAAAGAAAAGAAAGAAAGAGATATTAGAGACAAATTGAAACTTTAATTACTATATTATTAATAATATTAGAAACATATTGATGGAATGAACAAAAAATACCAAAAAAATATAAAAAATGATGGCAATAATGGATTACACATAATGAGTAACTTATTTGTCATTCAAAGAATATAACTCATTTTAGTCATTATTAATGATTTTTTTTGTATCATATGATTTATATTGTAAAAATAATTGAAGCTTTGATATACATTTGATATTTCTTTCTTTTGTTTTCTTTTCCTCTCATTTTTTATTTATTTTTTAATTGAAATTTGTGTTAAACTTATTTTAACAATTCCTTAAAAATTTGCTATTCCCATATACGACTTCTTATAAAGTTGTTGTTTTTAATAGTGAAAAATGTCAAACCGGGCTGTTTCGTTGAAAATTTATCTGCTTGTGTTATTTGGGTTTTATATATATATATAAAACAATGGCCTGTTTGGACTGTGAAGGAAATAAATGGTCAATTGACTTAGGCGGCCTATTGGTTCATAAATTCCACTCGTCCAGCCATCGGAAATCCATCGTCACCCATTGGAAATACTTCTCTATATGGTTGAAAATGAGGTGACTAATAAGACAAGGAGGAGACGAAGCTTGTGGTTTATTTTTTTGTTTTAAAAGTATTTTAAAAAAATTAAATTTTATTTTATTTTTTTAAATTAATACTTTTAATATTTTCAAAACATTTTAATAAGTTAATATTAATTTTATTTTAAAAAAAATACAAAAATATTATTTTAATATTTTTAAATAAAAACAGCCTACGGATCATGAATGGACTGTGAAGGAACAAATGGTCACGTGATTCACGCGGCTTATTGGTGTCCATAAATTCCACTCGTCCACCCGCTGGAAATACACATAGTCGCCCAAGCCAACAAGAACCGAAGTCTCTCATTCTCTGCTTTATTCACTGAAGAAGTCATGGCCCCTTTCAAACTCCATGGAAGCGTTTTATCAACCAACACACAGCGAGTTCTTGCAACCCTTTACGAGAAAGAGGTAGAATTTGAGCTTGTTAACGTCAATTTGGGAGCTGGGGAACACAAGCAAGAGCCCCATATTTCCCTCAATGTAAGTGCTTTACTAATATTGAAAGAAAAGAGCCCTAGCTGGTGACTGCTTCACCTTGGCAGATCTGCACCACCTCCCTAACATCCAGGCCTTGTTGGGGACTCCATCCAAGAAATTGTTCGATTCTCGCCCCCGTGTTAGCGCATGGGTTGCCAGTATCACTGGAAGGCCAGCTTGGAGCAAGGTGCTCGCCTTGCTTCCGAAGTAAATTAGAAAGTAACTATGCAGGGTGTCTTGTCCTGAATAAATAAATAAAAAAAAGATGAGTGTGGTGTTTAGTCATCAATATATATTATTTCTGTTTACAGAAACAGCTAGACCGAAAGGTCCTCTGTTTGCTTCTCGAGTTCATATGTATTTTGATTTTGTGTATGGTGTTTAGTCATCAGTCTTCTATGCGAAGGATTGTTAAACTTGGAATAATGGTTAAACTTGGAATAAAGTTTGTCTTTTTTTGTGTTGTTCGTGGCATTTCCTGCATTGGTTGTAAAGTGGGACATTGATGAGCCTTCAAATTTCAGTTCAGATTTTATGGACCAATATCATTTCAACATCCTCAAGTTTTGATCTTAATTCTCTCTTCATTTTTTTAACAAATGCGTAGCGATCATTCTAGCTCTGGAAACACATGAACGACCAGAGCTCCTTTGTGCTCTTTTGGTGTTGGTCCGATGACATTGTTGTCGTTGACTAGATATCAAAAACGCTTCTTTCATGTGGGCATCTGCTCTTCTGGTTTGGTCGAAATATGGCGGAAGCATTTGGTTCTATGCTAGCCATCTTCCTTCCAAGAGTAAAGCTGGAACAGGTTGTGCACACAAGTAGGTAGTGAAGTGATGATTCGTCTTGCACTTGATCAAGAGTCTTGCATGTATCCTTCTGTCTCTTTTTTTAATCAAACTTTAAAGCAAATTTGAAGCTTCACAGGATGAGGTGAATGGTTTAAAAAGAAAAGAAAAGAAACAGACGCTAAAAGGAAAAGGAACAGGAACAGGAAGTTGTTTGGATTAGGTTTTTGTTTTGACTTGTTGGGGAACTAAAAGGAAAAGGAAAAGGAACAGGAACAGGAACAGGACGTTGTTTGGATTAGGTTTTTGTTTTGAGTTTGTTGGCGACTAGGCTTACATCCATGCCATTCCCAATTAATTGTTGGCGACGAGGCTTACATCCATGCCATTCCCAATTAATCGACAATAAATTGTTGAGTCCTTCCTCAAATGTATGTACGTGTTTCTACAACTATATGAGTGCATTTAATAATCTCAAAGTTAGCTCCTTTTGTGATGGCATGATATTGCAGGGAAATAACACTAGGCCCACCATAAATAATCAAGCCCAAACATTACAGCCTCTCCTCTCTCGCCTATTGTATAGTTTCATATTATTATTTTTACTATTATTTTTACTGTTATAAATTTAAATAACTCATATATAGATATAAATCCATTAGGTAGTCAAACTGAATTTTCAATAATGGAAAAAACAATATTCAAGCATTGTTGATACATTTTATAAAAAAGAAAAAAAAATCCACGATTTAACATTATAAAAAAATAAAAAAATTATGATTATCAATATCAAGAATCAAACATATAAAAATGAAATCACCAGAAAACCTGCAAATCCAGGTGAGGTCGCCAAAACTCGCAAGTAAGATCATACGAACATAATAACCTAATAAAAGACAAAACGATGGATTGATCCTTGATTCGAGTGACTTGAAGCTTAGGATGGGTCGGGTTTGAGAAAGAAATTTGGTGAGAATCGACTCGATATGAAATGATTAAAAACACAGATTGACTTGTGACCTGGTCAACCCGTGGCAAACCTAGTCAAAATCAGGTCAAAACTCATTAACTATTTTTCTTTATTTTATTGTATTTTCAAAATAATATAATTTTTACCCTTTTATATAAAACATAAAAAATTGTTAGACTCGGGTTAATCCACTTGATACATGATAAAGTACTTGATTCAAATTGTTTCTTAGATCGATTCGTGAAAAATGAGAGGACAACCTAAAATTTTGAATTAAATGATGAAATAAAAAAAATCAAATTAACATAAGAATCCAAAACAAAAAAAAAATAAAATTGAAGAGAATGGGGCTCAAACTTGTAAAAAACAAAACCAAAATTATGGATCCAATGATGAAAATAAAATTTGATTAAGGGGTTAAGAATAAAAATTTGAATCCAAAACATTGAGGGTCTAATCTTAAATATCATCAAACTTTGAATTAAAGGGTAATATTGAAAAGAAAAATTGAATTAAAAAAATAATCCAAAATAAAAATAAAAATTAAGAGAATGAGGACTAAATTTGAAAAAACAAAACCAAAATTATAGACCCAAGGATAAAATTAAAAACAAATTAAAATTTTATAAAAAGTATTAAAAATTAAAATTTGAAATCAAAACATTGAAATGCTAACCTTAAATATCATTAAACTTTGAATTGAGGGGTAAAACTGAAAAGAAAAATTAAATTCACAAAAGAATCTAAATCAAAAAAATAAAAATTAAGAAAATGAAGACCAAACTTAAAGAAATTAAAAATCAAGATTATGAATCCAATGATGAAATTGAAAACAAATTAAAATTTAATAAAAAGACTAGTAACAAACTTTGAAATCAAAACATTAAAGGTCAAACATAAATTGTTATAAAATAAGAGAACAAAGTTGATTTTTTTCATGAGCAACACAAGATTCAATTAGGAGGAGAGAGAGAAAAGGAAAAGAAAAGAGAGGAATGGGCGATGACAAATTATTATTTAAAACACCACACATGTTCTCCCGGATGGAAAAGAATGTCGTGGAGCTTCAAACGCTATATCAAAAGCTGATTTTCTTTAAACGAACAACAGCTGAAGCCTCACTTAAATAGTGCGGAGCCATTTATGCAAACATTAACAACTTTTTTTAAATAAAAAAAGACTGAATCATCTCTAACCCAACTTAATAATAACAAAAAAACCTATAAGAAATGATAGAAACACCTTGGATCCAAAGCTTACGAGTGTTTGAGAGTGTAGTAACGATTGTTTTTTAAATAATTTTTCTCAAAAATACATCAAAGTAATTTTTTAAAATATATTTTTTGACATCTGAATATCAAAATGATTTAAAAATACAAAAAAATATTAATTTGAAGCAAAAAAAATTATAAATTTTTTAATTTTTTTTTTGAAATGTAAAAACAAACAAGCTCTTATAAAATTTGATTTTAGAAGCAATTTAGTCATTCTATTTTTTAAAAAAACATAAGAAACAAAAAATGCCCTTGAAATAGTTGAATGAAAATAACTTTTAAAGCTAATTTAATAGTCCTAATATTCTAAAAAAGTTTAAGAAGAGTATAATAACCCTCTTGAATTTGACAAAGACATTTAACCTCTTACAGAAATATTGAAGTATCCTCTCGGCCAAGTAAATTGTTTTCATAGGACAATGATAAAATAGTAGATTTATAGCTCAAATCACAACGAAAGTCTCATCTCTTATAGCTTTAGACTAATTAGGTGGCCCAAGATGCATTATTTTTTAACATAAAAAATATATATAAAACGTTACTATCCAACAATGTCGAGTCTACATGTAAAGTAAGATTTAAGAGTTTTATATCTTATTAATTCATAAATACTATTTATAATATTAATTATAATATAAATAGTAATTTTTATAATACAACTAATAATATTTTATAATATTAAACTTATCAAGCTTATCTTTAAATGGGTCTGACTATAATACTAGATCTAAAAATTTTGGATGTGGATCTGACTACAAGATCATGTCATAAAAATGTGATAACTAAATAAAAAAATATTTAATATTAAAAAATAAAATTAAATAAAAAAGATTAACTTAAAAGAAAAAAAAAAGCAAAACACTATTACAATGAATATTGCTTTGGATGAAAACGTATAGTAAAACCTCCTCATGAGATCAGGATAATTTAATAAAAAATAAATAAAATAAATTATAAAGTTTAATTATCGATCAAATTGATATTACAAGATGAAATTGAAAGAAAAAAACTAATTAAAAAAAATAAATTAACTAGGTTAACTTGTTAAACCTGAGATTTGTGTCATGAGAATATGATAACTAAGTAGAAAAAAATTTAATATTAAAAATTAAATTAAATAAAAAAATATTAATTAAAAAATTATAACTAAAAGATATATTAATTAAAAAAAACTATAATTAAAAGGTATCCACATTTATTTAGAAAGTGAAAGGCTAAACTTTTTAGTTATAGTTAATATAGTTTCTTTTCAATAGTAATAATTTTTTTAATAATTATATTAATAATAATAATAATAAAATAATATTAATAATAATATTATGTAATACTAGATCTAGAAATACGAGTATGACAATCATGCAAACCCTAAAAAACTGAACAAATCATTTTATCTTTAATTATTTTTTTAATGCTAAATATATTTTATAAAAAAAACCATCTCATTTCAACCTATATGCATAATATTTGTTTTTTGAAAAAATATCCATATTATTATACTATTTCAATCTACTATTACCAATATCTTTACTAATAATAAAAGAATGAACAATGAAAATTCTGGCTTTTGCTGTAATACAATGGCTATATTATGTGATATTATTTCCTCATCTCATCATATTTTTCATCATTTTACATAAAAAAAGTCCAGAAATGCTCTCTTTAAGCAAGGAAAATTGATAATGATTGTTATATGTCTATATAACTTGATTTGTTTATTTTTTATAATTATTGATTGAAGTGACTAAAATTCATAACCTGCGAGATGCAGCTAATTTCTTCATAATTGGTGGTCAATTATATTTCCTACATAATAGATAGAAGAAAATGATTAACAAATAAACACGTAATTCAGGGATGGAACTAAAAGTACAGAAATAGTTTAAAGAGCCATGATGTTAAATAAATATGAGAAATGATAAAAGTTGCAGAACTAAGAAAATTAGAAAACGAGATAGTTTGATTATTCTACTGAAGAGCACTGCTCATTCAATGATATATTTATTCTCTTATTATGTAACCTTATAAGATGAATGCATCCATATATATATATATATATATATAGACACACCTCAGGGCTGTTATCCCACTAGAAATGAATGAACTACTACCCATGTTGCACCAGCTGTATGTTAAGTTAGAAAGGACTAATAGAAAAGTAAAAGAAGAAAATAACAGAAAGGAAAAGAATAACAGACTAACAGCTGGAACTAAAAAAAAAACGATCATCCTTTTTCTCCCAGTAACTTCTTATCATTGTCATTCTTCAATAGCCCACCACAAGATGGAGCATAGTAGTTTACGATGCCCATCTTGGATATATGAGAAAAGAGCAATGTTGCAGGGAGAACTTTTGTAAATACATCAGCCAATTGAAACTTTGTGGAAATATGTGCAATCTTCAAAATTCCTTCTTGAATCTTGTCACGGATAAGGTGACAATCTATCTCGATATGTTTGGTCCTTTCGTGGAATATTGGATTCAAAGCAATGTGTAATGCAACTTTATTA